AAAGCATAACAGATTTCTTCACTAGGGTTACAAAACTAGTGAATCAAATCAAGGTATATGGAGAAGTGTTGACATTAAAATCAGTTGTTACAAAGATCTTGAGGTCATTGGCTCTAAAGTTAAACCACGTGGTAGTATCCATAGAAGAGTCGAAAGACTTGTCAGTATTGACAAAGAAAGAGCTTCAAGGGACGCTTGAGTCTCATGAACAAGATGGTTGAAAGAGCTGCAGAAAAGTCGAAGAGTGATATGGCTTTACAAGTGCAGTCAGAAAAAGAAAATAAAGGCAAAGGAATATGTATTAGAAACAAAGATAGAGGAGGATACAACAATTCGATTGGTCAAAATCAGCAGGAAGAAAACTAGTCGAATCAAAGAAAACTCTGGAACCAAGGCAACTTAAGAGGTGGTGTTGCAGGTAGAGGAAGAGGTGGTGGTCGAAATCCTGAAAAAAGTTACATTCAGTGTTTCAATTGTCAGAAGTATGGTCACTATTTTAGTGATTGTTCAGAAAATAAAAAGAATAAAGAAACTGATGTAAAGCTGGCCAAACATGAAGAAGAAAAGATGTTGCAAATGGTCACAACAAGAGATGAAGAAAGATTCCAAGATCAGTGGTACTTGGACTCAGGATGCTCATCACATATGACTGGATGGAGATATTGGTTTGTCAACATAAATCCCTCGATTAAGAACATGGTGAAATTTGCAAATGATAATACTTTAATAGTTGAAGGTATTAGTGATGTTCTGATTATGAGGAAAGATGGCAAGAGGTCAATAATTTCCAATGCGTTGTACATACCAGGCATGAAGAGTAATTTTATAAGTATATGACAGTTGGTCGAAAAGAACTACAAGGTGTCAATCAAAGACAATATGATGAGAGTTCTCGACTCAGGTGGTAGGTTAATCTTAAAGGCTTCAATGTCTCAAAATAGGACCTTCAATATTTAACTTACTGTGCTGGAGCATAAGTACCTTGCAACTACAGCCAGCAGATATGAATGGTTATGGAATTATCTACTTAGCCATCTCAACATTAAAGACATCAGAAAGTTGAAGAGAAGAAATATGGTTTCAAGATTGGCAGAAATCGACATTTCAAGTGAAGTGTGTGAAGAATGTGTTCAGGCGAAACATCACAAGAATAGCTTCAGCAAAGATGCAGGAGGCAAGTCGAAGCCAGTTCTCGAATTCATATACTCTATTGTATATGGTCTTAACCAGGTGGATTTGATTGGAGTAACAGATACTTTGTCACATTCGTAGATGATTTCAGTCAAAAACTGTGGACTTACCTAATCAAGAAGAAAAGTGAAGTGATTGAGGGATTTTCCAAATTCAAATCTATGGTCGAAAGAGAGAGTGGTCGAAAGCTAAAGATTCTGAGGACTGATGATGGTGGAAAGTGTGTGTCAAAATTTTTTGATGCATTATGTAAGAAAGAAGAGATTGTGTATGAGGTGGTGCCACCCTACACTCCTCAGCAGAATGGAACTTTAGAAAGGAAGAATATAACCATTATGAACATGGTGAGAAGTATGTTGAAAGGAAAGAATCTACCCAAAGAATTATGGGGTGTCGATAATAACATACATTCTGAATAGATGTCTGACAAAGAAGCTAGAAGGAATCACACCAGAAGAATGTTGGTATGGTGTTAATTCTAGCCTAAGTCATTTGAATGTGTTTAGATCTATAACACATAGACATGTTCCATATCATTTAAGAAGAAAGCTTGATGACAAATCGAGTCAAATGATCCTAATAGGATATCATTTGACTAAAGGATACAAGTTGTTCGACCCAGTGAACAAGCGACTTGTGATCAGCAGGGATGTGATCATAGATGAGCTTAAGGAATGAGATTAGACTGATAATATTAAGAAGGATTTAGTAAGAATCTTATGTGAAGAATCAGTTAGTGAAGTCGAAAGAGAAGTTCGATAAGAAGAAGCCAAAGGTGAAGCAGACCCAAGCAGACCTCAACGAACAAGATACATGCCTGCAAGATTGCAAGAATGTGTGATTACATCAGACGACGTGGTCGATAAAGAAGATGGGCTGGTACATTATGCTTTCTATGCAGATGTCGAACTAGTCGATGCAATTGAGGCATTGAAAGATTCGAAGTGGGTGAAAGCAATGAACAAAGAACTAGAGTCCGTCGAAGTCAATATTACTTAGTCACTTATCAAATTGCCTCAAGGCAAGAAGGAAATTGATGTGAAATGGGTTTACAAGGTGAAGGTGAATCTTAAAGGAGAAGTAACTCGACACAAGGTGAGACTTGTAGCGAAAGGATTTCTTCAGAAATAAGGAATTGACTTCAACAAAGTTTTTGCACCTGTTGCTAGGATCGAAACAATCAGATTGGTTATTGGTCTAGAAAATATGAACAATTGGCATACATGTCAGATGGATGTGAAATGTGCATTTCTTAATAGCCCCTTATACGGAGAAGTTTATGTTGCACAACCAGCTGGATTTGTGAAACAAGGCGAAGAAAGAAATGTGTACATGCTGCATAAAGCCCTGTATGGACTTAAGTAAGCTCCAAGATCTTGGAATAAGAAGATTGGCATCTTTCTAAGGGAGAAGAAATTTTTGAAGTGCACAACAGAGCATAGAGTATATGTATGGAGAAGCAATAGTGAATTGCTTATACTTTGTCTCTATGTTGATGACCTGTTAATAATAGGAAGTTGTAAGAAGGAGATCGAAGATTTTAAACACGACCTAAGTGGGGAGTTTGAAATGTCAGACTTGGGAAATCTCTCATATTTCCTTGTCATTTAATTCTACAAGAGTGGTAGAGGTTTGATGATGTACAAAAGAAGATATGTATGCTTGAGATGCAAGATTGCAACCCAACTTCGACTCCAGCTGAGACCAGATTGAAACTGTCGAAAGATTCAGAGGAAGATGATGTCGATCCAACCCAATATAGAAGACTTATTGAGTCACTTCGATACCTTTGTCACACAAGGTCTGACTTAGCATACAATGTGGGTATGGTAAGTATATTCATGCAGAAGTCAAAGGTATCACACCTAGTAGTGACGAAGAGGATACTAAGGTATCTGAAAGAAACTCTCGACTACGATATTTTGTTTTCTGAAACTGATGAAGAAAAATAATGCAAGCTAGTGGAAAACACTGACGCAAGCTGGTGTAGTGATGCCGAAGATCGAAAATTCACAGCTGGATATGTGTTTATGTTATGTGGTGCACCAATTGCTTGAAGTTCGAGAAAGGAGACATTAGTGGCATTGTCGTCATGCGAAGCAAAATACATAGATGCTTCTCTTTGTGCATGTCATGCAACATGGATGACGAACCTGATCGAAGAGCTTACAGCGAAGAGTCATGGAGCAATTACCATGAAGATCAACAGCATGTCAGTTATCAACCTGGCGAAGAATCTGATAGCACATAGTTGAAGCAAGCGTATTAAAATGAGGTTCCATTATCTTCGAGAGCAGATAGCAGAAGGGAATATGAACTTGGAACACTACAGAACTGAGAATCATATTGCAGACATCATGATGAAGGGAGTGCAGGTCGAAGTGTTCAAAAGACTAATAGCCATGATGAATGTAGATAGCTTAGACATAATGAATTAAGTGGTGTGTTGAGTTGTAATTCTTTGTGTCAAAGCAATGTAGCTCGACAGAAACAACGATTAATCGAACTAGCCTAATGTTTGTGTGTCGAATTGTATTAGTGTGTGAAAGTGTCGAAGCAGGTTGCTTCGCACGTGATTTCAACTTAGGCATGTTTTTGTAATGTTAGTTATTTTGGGCTTTTATAGTTTTGGGCTTTGACTTAGGGTGCAAGCTAATCTAAATTTATAAATAGGGAGTAACCCTTATTTTGTAAATAACTCATAACAGAATTCACAGTTTTACAGTTGCAAAGTGAATAAGAAATTCCAATTTGGAAGCAGAGAGAAACTTTGCAGAATATTCATCTTTTTCTCTAACGTTATTTTTCTTTCTTTCTTTCTCAACCTTTTCTTTTCATTGTCATTGTGTGATTGTTAACAATCTTGAGATCAATATTGAATAGGAATTCTCCATAGGCTGTGGTTGAATTTTCAACACATTTTAGGAAGGTGTGTGAGAAATATTCGAATTTTTTGAAATATGTTAAAAGCATAATTCTAAGTCAAGTGAAGGAGAAATTACAATGTTAGAACACAGATTCATAGACGACAATCTTATTCATAGTTGGTGGACAATATTTCTTGAGCGGGATTGAATTTTATTTTTCACGAAGTCAAATGAGATGAAAAAGTAGGTTCAGTTAACTCAAAATTTGGTTGCACGCTAAAAGTGGAAATAGGTCAAGTCAAACTTTAGAAAATCGGAGCCTAACGTACGATAAACTTAAACGGTTTGAACCTAGCCTTTGGTATATTATAGGCTATTTTTTATAGTCTATCCTGACCTTTTTAAAAGTCATGCATAACCTAAAAATATTTAAAAGCGTTTTTCATATTAAAACTTTCAAATAGTGAATAGGTTCATGGAACAATCAAACATATCTCATTTAGAAAATGCTAAAAAAAAAAATTATAAGATATCTCACTTAATTGAAAGAACAAAGGTGGTTCCAATGTACACACAAATAGGAAATGTTTATTTGTCAAGAAAAAGTGAAAACAAGAAAGACAATAATAAATTTCAATGAGCTATTATCACTACTATTCCATAATTCCTAATAAAAAGTTTAAAAATGATCCTCTAAAATAATCACATGTTACGTTCTTAATAATAATCGTGATGAAAATACATACAATGTACTAATAATAATAAAACTTGTGCATGTGGTGAAAGCCTGAGTAGCCAGTGAAAGGTGCGGATAGCACCAGCAATAGAATATATTGGACTTTTTTACCCAATAAGCCCAATTTAGCTTCTGTTGACTGTTCTTAATTTTTGTGAAAGAGGAAGTAAAAAGAAAAACCGTTTCATTCCGTCACGGTTGCGGAAATGTCAGAGAAACAATCAGAATCGGAATCGATGAAATTGAGCTCGGAAGAGCTTTCGAGTGAGTTCAAAACCCTCGTTAGTTCCGATGATCTTCGTTCCCTTAACCATTTACAACACACCATGTACGTTCCCCTTTCAATTTCCCTTTGTTTCATACATTCTAATCAAAAAAAAAAAATTGTACTGAATTGAATTTCGGAGTATTGAATTTCAGATTGGGAAGATTGCAAGATAGCAATGCAGTTTTATCGCATTTCAATGATTTCTCTCAACATTGTTTCACTGAGATTTCCGGTGATATGGCCAGAAATACTCGTGTCTTGAAGTCTATCAAATCTGACCTAGATTATATTTTTCTCAAACTAAGGTATTATTATTATTTGATTATCACTTTTTATCGTTTATCTTCATTGTTTATTGAAATTGGTGTGTACATTCTATTAGGTCATATAGCTTTTTTTTGGCTCTGCCTTGAAAATGATTTGGAGTGAAATCTGTAAAATTGATTAATTTCAATGTAAAAATCGTGTATAAACTCCGAATCTATAAATTCTAGCTTCAAGTAAAATGGACTCTGGAGTCAGAATCAATTATACTTTAGAAGAACTAATCATACACATAAACATAATCAGGTAGAGCTTTCCAAGCTTGAGCTTTAGATCTCAAAATTTTTAAGTCAAAATAATCTGTTTAGTTATAACTAATATGCAATATAAGTTGTAGATGTTTTAGGGCTCAGTTGGTCATAGTATGGGCCTTATACATATCCGCTTTGACGTAGATTCAAACCTTGAGTTCTGCAAATTTTGATTTTAATTGATTTTTTAGGTCTCTAAACATGTTGGACCCACAATGTAATCAAAGAGTATGCGTATCAACATTTTAACTTTTCCCATTTTAGTATGTGGGGGAAAGTGTTGTGGGTGTTGAGACAAAGTTACTGGAAAGGCTTAAGAACTCTTGCAAGTTGAGGCCCTGCTTTAGTAGTTGGGATACCTTTCTGGCTTAGCAACTATTGAGTTTGGTAACTCTTCAAAGAGACTTGTCATTAGACTTGCTAATAAAAGGCAGTAACGTAGTGCTATTGTATAGCAAAATATAGTTTGGTCTTTGCCTCTTAGTGACTTGCAATCTTGTAAGGATGCACAATTTTGAGAATGAAGACTAAGAACACCGAGAATATAGGTGTTTTTAAAACCATATGTTGATGAAGTTATCTCGGGTGATGACAATGAAGGTTGAAATTGGGGGAATAACAAGGGCATCTGGTGCTAGAGAAGCCAGTGAACACTAGAAGCAATGCCAAATTTTGAAGATGAAGTTGTCTTTGGTGGTGACAGATTGACGTGAAGGGTTTTCTTTGAGGTAACAAACAAGGGCATTTGTTGTTAGAGAAGCAAGTAAACAATGGAAACTAAGCCAAGTGATGTTGTCTTTGGTGGTGATGGTGATAGGATTTAAATTGGGGTAACAAGAAGGGCATGTGGTAGGTAGTAGGGAAGTGGTGACAAGTATGGAACTCAGTCTCATATGTTGATGCCATGGGTGGCTTGAACTGATTTCTGTTTTAACGTAAGCTAGACTAATTGTTTTTTGGGCCATCTCACCCCGATTTTGTTTATAAACTACAAAATATTTGATAATTGTGATAGATGGTGATTGATGAAGTGAGAGTAAAACTAGCATTGCACAATACAATACAAAACCTTCTATATATATGTTTAGCTTATTTGTATCTGCTTTCCATTTGTTTACATTATGAATTCAAAAGCTGTTTCAATCAACCCTGCCTTTTGCAGAAACATGAAGACGAAACTTTCTACAACTTATCCGGATGCTTTTCCTGAAGATTCAATGAGCAAAGTGATTGATAGAAGACCAGATCTGGAAATGCCTAAGTAGCTAAGGATGTTATTGAACACAAATTTTAGAACAAGTTATACAAACTTATGTATGTATTTGATTTTATTGCAAGTTAAAATCATAACATATTCTGTTTCATTGTAACAAAAAAAAAAAGTGCCCATGCATTGATTTTTATTGTTTTAGCAATTTCTTGATCATATTCACTAAAAACATATGGTTTTGCACCTCAGCACTAATCAATAATAGTGCATTGCCTCAGGAGGAACTGCGTGGATGAAGAGTAAGGAAGAACGACTAGGGTGACCAATGAGAAAAGATCCGACCGGCTATGATTTTATTTAAGGCTGCTTATGAGGCTATGATTTTATTTAAGGCTGCTTATGAGAAGTGCGTACGTTTAGCTTTCTCGGGGTTCAAATTTGTGTAGCAGTGAGGACACTATTTGACAAATGCATAACGTGAAAAAGACAGATTCAAATTTATCAGAGATGCTTTCCTCCACTGCATTTGTAGCAGACTGGTATTCCACTTACGTTTGAAAGAAGACATTCAGAGATTTCTTTTCAATATCCAAGGGTGGCCAGATCATCTGTCTACTCTTACCCCAATTAAAAAAGCAATATTGAAAATTATAAGACACTTATTTCAAATAAAATATTTTTACAAACTGGGTTGTTTTAGAACAGAGTAATGAATAATCAAATCCTTGGTATCTAGAGTTGTTCTACTTATATAAATATAATAAATCATGCCAGCACGCTTAAATTTCAACAAGTGAAAGAGGAGAATCTTGCAAATTTAATATACTTATAAAAAGTTATTTGGTACAATGGGGAGAGGGGCTACAGACAAACATCATCGATATAATATATATGCTCTGGCAGCTAAAGACGGATTAATTAAAAATAGTAAAATACTTAAACTAGATATGGTGAACTTCAAAGCCAGAAAATCACCCGAATACATAATAGATTGTCCACAATATTGTATCTCTGATTTGCGCAATTCAATCATCAAAAAGTAATTTAACCAGACTAAAAAAAACTTAAAGCAAACTATATTTCAAGTATTTCCCATCTTGCATCTACCCCTTGTTGTAAGTACTAAAAGAAAGCTACTCGCCAACAAAGAAAGACAGGAAGAAACCGACCATCCAAGTAAAAAAAAATAACGGAAAAAAAGGGAGGGGGGGATAAAAAGCGAACAAAAACATATAAGAATCTTATGCAGAAACCCTAAAACCCAAAAAAAACCCTAGGAGTAAAAAACCTGTTAGGAACTAACCACTGTAAACAAAACGCAATTACATGGGGTTGGTGCTAGCATTCTATCAACTAACTCCGTTCAGCCTATCTCAATGTACAGATCTCACTAATCACCCAATCATCTTCGCACAGCAAGAGAAGGCGTGACGGATCCAATCAGGCGGAACCAAGTTGCTGAGTTTTAGTATGCAAAGGATGAATATATATGCCATTAAACTCAATCACCGCCATCTTTGGAAACAGTAGACAACTTAGCAACCATTCGCAACCCCATTGGGTACAATTTTACTCTCCAATACAACTGGCTTAGCACCCTTTGGGGCATCTCCAGTTTTTGCAACAGCTCCATTCTCAGAAAGTGTGTGGTTTTCAATGTCCTTCACAGCTAGGGTAGTAGACTCCTTGAGCAACTCAGAGGTGACTTCAGATTTTTGAGTATTTATTTCCCCATTCACCTCTATCTTTTCCTCTGTTGACTTCCCTTCCCAAACCTGCATCAGAATAAAATGAAAATTAAACACAATCTCTAAATGAGAATAAATCATGTAGAATAAAACATGAGCAAACTAGAGTGATCGAAATACTTGCCTGCTTTGGGTATTGCTGCTTTGCTTTCTTCTCCAAAATAGTCTTCTGACGTCCCTCATAGAACCCAAAATCATCCAGGATACACGTCTTACTAGAGTATTCCTTAAAAAGCTTGATCAACTTCAGACCAGGCTCCAACAATACCTGCAAACATAAACTTCATTTATCAGATGAGAACCGACTATTACAATCAATTGACAACTACAAGACCAAAACTCTGTTACCTCTTGTGTATCCCTACTGTTTGTGACAGGTTTGTTTTCATTGTTCAGCAAGGTAATATGCCTCAGCACATTGTTAGGAACATCCTTAACAATGTGCCACTTCAAAGGAAAACAACCATTCCACTTGTCTTGCTGCCAATACTCCAAACTTTTGTTAAAATCAACAGGACCAATCATTTCGGCAAGCCCAACAAACTGCCCACTTGTATTAACCTGAAAATGAGTCTAATGTTAGCAAAACTATAACAAACATAGGAAAACATAATTTGCAACGGACCTAGATGCTTACTGAGAACAAAAGGAATATAGGGCAGCCACCAGGTTTCTGCTGGGCCTCTTGGTAGGCAGCATCAAGCTTTTTGTTGCCATTTTGTGTACTAGCCCATACATTATACTTTATGCTTTTGTGAATGTCATCCTCGCTATAAGACTTGATGACAAAAAATTTAGCATCAGTGTATTCTTCTGGAAAATCAGCCTTGTTGTATTGCTCACGGTCTGGAACATTAGAAGTCTTTTCTTTCTCTTCATCAGCAACAGCTGGCAAATTCTGCCCTTTAACAGCAAGAACAGTCGGTGCAAACACCTTCTGGTTCTTGCCACCCTTGGCCCTAGGTCCCCTGTTCAGTTCATTCAAACCATCGGTGTTCTCATTGCCATACCCAAAATAACCACCATTTCTTCCTCTTGTTTTGTATTTATTGTCAACAGCAAGCCAAGCTCGGCCATTTGTACGAGAATCATACCCATGTGCTCCATAACCCATACCTGATCTAACTGCATTGCCATACTGACCATATAACTTGTTCGGATACATTCGACTCATGAACCCAGGGTTAGCTCCCATAGCAGGCATTGGTCTAGGATGGTGCAAGCCCTAAGAAAAAGAAAATTTTCCAAATTTTAAATTAACAAAAATAAAGCTAAATAAACACAACAATGTTAGAACTTCGCAGATGATAAAATTGAAACAGAAGTTAACATGAAAAAAAAATTGCTTTCAAGGCTATCTTATACTAAGCAAAAAAATACTTGATAATGATTAGCATACCATATACTGAGAATTGGGGCGGTAAGTTTGGTTCCTTGAAGCAGTACCATTGTTGCCACTTGATATTGAGGATGAGATTGCAGTGCTAGTTACAGGTCTTGGCTGCCCATCTGAAAATATTGGGGCATCTAGCCATGGGACAGGTGAGCGAGCTCCATCAAAACCAAATCTGGGATCCTGATAGCCAGAAGTAGCAGTGCGACCTGTCAAAACAAATTAACTTTTATACAGAATTCAACAGATAGTATAATTTTGATAGGGCTGTGCCATATGTTTCAAAACCCTTACCTTTAGCATTTACCCCATTTGAAACAACATTGGAATTTCCATTTGGAGTATCCACAGAGAGAGCCTTTTGATCAGCAGCAACAGAGGTGGAAATTTCACCCTGGGGATGGACAGCAGGAGTAGGTGTGAATGGGCCACTGGTTGGAGTCAATGGCTGAAAATAAGGGGGATACTGATAGTGTTGAGGCCCATATAACTGACCGTCATTTCCCATGGTTGGGACTGGAGAACCAGCCGGAGAGTATGGGGCATAGGGCGCATATCCATATCCATGGTGATAGACTAGAGAACCATTATCCCCGTAGACTCCCTGAAAATGCAGCCTCTAATTATATGAATAAAAGTAAAATAAGAAACAGGATAATACTAGACATCATTAGAAGGAAAAACATACTTACAGAAGTCAAATCAACTCCATCAGGACTCATGTATCTAGAAAAATCCTCCCACTCAAAATTACCAGCCCCTTCATATCCTAGAAGAAACTTACATATCAGATCACATAAAATTGCATTAAGATTATACACAGATTAATTTTTCTTCAGAATATATATGCATACACTTACCACCATAATAAAAGGCAGTAGATGGGTAGCCGTTTGGAAGATAGCACATGGCAGGATCCATAAATTCCGGCAACACAGGGGTTAGGGACCTTTCATATGATGGGATCTGACCATTCGGGGTATTTCCAGTATCAACTGATCCATATTGATTACCTGTCACCTACAAAGAATTGAAAATTTGACTCAGCACAACAAGAGAGAATTCAATCATCAGTTATTAATCTCACTAAAACAAAATAAAAAAGCAAAAATATGATATGTTATCCTCCGATGTTACTCTAAAAACATAGTAAAACCAAATTAACTAAAGCAAAGATAAAAACCCAAAATTGTTACCTTCTTGTTCGGCTCGGGAATTTCCACGGATTTGGGCTGAGCATCTAATGAGAACTTCTGCAGCAACTCAACTGTTTCTGTGAACACAATAAAGTGAAGGAACAAGCAAACTCGAAAAATTCAAATTTCAACCAAAACCACATATCAAAATTAAGAACACACCAAAAACCAAAACTTTAATTCAACTCGATAAAATCAACTTAAATAAAAAATCAATTAAAAAAATTCAAAAGAAAAAAGCATCACAAACACACGCAAAACCAGTCCGATCCAATTAGCAGTTCATAAAAACAGATCAAGCAACGAAAAATACTGCAAATAAATTAAACAGCTAAGAAGGATACGATCCGCGGGATTTGCGACAGTAGCCATATTCAAATCGATAACGAGATCTCGTTCTTCTGAACAAAAAAAATCACGAAACAGAAACCTCAAAAACGAATCTGAATCTGAATCGAGATACAAAGGGTTTAAGCCCCAAATCGAAGATTTGAGAAACCCTAAAAGGAGTGATAGATAGAGAGAAAATGGATAGAGAGAGAACGAGTCTCGCAGCCGCCAAGGGTTTGGGTTTTTGGGGAGAGAGGGTTTTGTTTCACTAAAAGCAGTGATTCAAATAGCACCACCTACACTCTATTTTCTCACTGTCCTTATCTCACCCGCGGGTCACGCTGTGATCTCATTGCCGTTTTATAATAGGTGGATATTACCACGTGGT